TCCCAGATGAAAACCAGTGAGATTCTTTCCCAAGTCAGAAATCTTATGAACATTAGTTTCCATCTGATTCTTAATACAAATGGAGCAAAAGATGTCCTCTGAGAACTGTTAGGATATAAAACATTCTATGGAGCACAAATAACATTTACAAGGGTAGCAACTCTAAGAAGAATGTCCACCGCGTGGGAATCACCTCAGCAGCACTGCTGGTCACTGCACCTGACTGAGAGGCTCCCGTTTAATCGGGGATGTTGGTGTAGTCAGCCTTTCAGGGGTCCAGTTCAAGGACATTAAGTGAGCAAATGGGAAGCCAAAGAAAGGCATCGTTTATGGTTTTGCCTTGCAGATAATCAGGCCTGAAAAGAAAGAGTCCTATGTCAGACATGATGGTGTGTCTTACAAAAGCTGTTTGTAGTCCTAGCTACATGGAGGCTGAAGCAGAAGGATCTCTTGAGCTGGGAAGTTCAAGGCCAGCCTGGACAATATAGCAAGGTTTTATTTCACAAGAAAGAAAGAAGAAAAAGGGAGGATGGAGAGAAGCATGGAAGGAAGAAAGGAAGAGAAAGAGGGAAGGAAAAATGTCTTTTTCCACATGGTAAACAACAAATAAATTTGAATTTTTAAATTTGTTTTACAATACTTTAAAATGTATAATCATTTTTGTCAGCACAGACTATTGAACTGAATAGGCATTACCACTGTGATAGGTTTATAAGTATCAAGCCAGTTTTTCCTATATTAGCTACACTAACACTTATTAGTTATAATATAGTGAATTAAACATAATGGTATAACAATGCAGAAACATGCATACAGAAATAAGTGAGGACCCCTGCATCTTCAGAACTCTATTAAGAGGGCTAACATGACACTAATAATACACGAACTTCTATGTGCTAAGCTTTTCATATAGTTTATCTTATTTAATCCTCTTGAAAACAGTGAGACAGGATTATCAGTACTTTCGTTTTTCCAGATAGGGAGAGAAAGGCTTGATGAGTTTGCGCACTGTGTCTAGGTCCTCAGAGCTGGTAAATGGTAACCCGAGCTCCAATTAACAACAGTACTAAGACCAGGGGCGCTTAGGAGATTTGCTGTGCAGCTTATTTTAGAGGCAGAAAGGAATAAGCATTACAGAAATGATGGGGGGGGTGACAGTGTCTGGAAGTAGCTCCCACTCAATCTCCTCAGCCACTACCCTGCCCTAATTGTACCACAGCAACCTGAGGGCTTCCAGTCCAGGCTCTGCCAGCCCTCTGAAATTGTAGTCAGCCAGCTCTGAGTGATTTCTATTCCTACCAGCAATCAATTTGCTTTCTGTTACTACCCTTCCATCGTTTTACACCTTGTCCCTTTAAAACTCATTAGTCTGAGTAACGTCTGAAACTCACTGAGTGTGTGTTCTCACCACGCGAGTGGATATTCTCATACACCTTTGTGTTCCTTCTTCTTCCAAGAAGCCTCGGATTGGGGTAATGTTTTATGCTTGCTTCCCCTCCCTACTGGAATCTGGCACACTCCCTGTAATCTGTTCTCCCACGCTGTACATTTCTCATCCTTCCCTTAATTTCAAGCAGAATTCTCTTCATACGTAATTAGAAAATGGAATCAACTTCCAGGCAGATAACATTGGCTATAATTTTACCTATTTCTTCCTTTTTCTCCCAGTTATGATACATGAGATTTTTCTCCTTTTCTATGCCGGGCAAAATCCCTTCCCTCTCTCGCACATCACTTTTCCTTGGGGAGAAGAGAACAGGAAAGCACGGATGAAAACAAAGTCATGGGAAGAGCTCCGCCCCCTCCTCGGCCCCGCCCCTCCTCGGCCCCACCCTATCTGCCCCGCCCCTCCTCGGCCCCGCCCCTCCTCAGCCCCACCCTATCTGCCCCGCCCCCTATCTGCCCCGCCCCTCCTCTGCCCCAGCCCCACACCTCCATCTCCATCACTATGCACTGAGCCCACTTAAAACACACACATCTGAAGGGACAAAATTGAACTCAGAAAATAACACCCCTATATTTTTCCCCGAAAACACCTATATTGTAAGTTCAATTTTGGCTTGCATTTTCCAGCTGTCATTTTATTAAAGCGCTGCCTGTGACAGGCCAGGGTCTTCCTGTTTCTTGGGAATCTTCACACGCTTCACCATTCCTTGTCCTGCTCACAGTCTTCCAAAACTTCTCTTCCTCCTCGGCCTTTGCTCTGTATCCGGATACCTCGGAGATCCCCTCGGAATGCCCTCTGCCCAGGAGTTTCAGGGCCATCCGTGTCACTGAGGTCAGCTGGCAGGAAGATCGTAAAGTGCGAACTCTTCATGAAACTCAGGAACCAGTACCGAGACGCCCATGAGCTACTGCTTACTAGACTGTGAGGACGGGGCTTTACAATATTAGATAAAATGAAACTGAGGAAAGTTCCCTTATTAATCTTTCATTTCTTTATGAAAAAGGTGGAATTTTGTTTCTCTATTATGATTATTTGACCATTTGCTTTGCTTTTGTAATTAAAATATGTATATTACATATATATTACATATATGTGTGTGTGCACGAAAGCATTCTAAACATTTAATACATTTATCTACAGTTAATGATTCTGGAAAAGAATATATCTAGATTTGAAAAGATATTCCATTTTGCTACATGAAGTCCGGTTTGTTTTTCCATTGTTACCACCTTGATGTTGTATTAGGGTTATATTGAGAGCTTGCTCGGGTTGTAGCCAACGTCCACATGAGTAAAATTTTGATGACAATCTTGTCACACGAGCAGACTTTGGGCTGAGACAGTGAGAGACCCTTTGTCACACTCACATTATGTTTTTGATAACTTTAGCTGTAATCTGATAATACGATAATTTAGAGTCTGCATATCAGAACGATGTAGTTTTCGACTGCCGGCGTATCTGTCATGCTTTGCTCTGCTGTGCTATTTGTACATGGATGGGGAGTAGCAACCCTGAGTTCATACCACTTTTTCAACGACACTTGCCTTCTTCACGCTTCCTGCCACATCTGGGTTATTCTCACATTTCCAACCTTTTATTACCATTGCATATGCTCTGGTGACATTATTAGTGTTCTTTGATACTATAATTGTCTTGTAGCCTGATAAGTGACTCTCGTAGGATGAAGACATAAGTGTGTGTGTGTTCTCACTGCTCCACTAAACGGTGATTCTTCCTTCTGCTCTCACCCCAGCCCTCCCCACTCCCTGAGATACAACAGCATCAAAACTCGGTGAATTCATGACACTGAACTGGTTTCTAAGTGCTCAAATGAAAGAAGAAATTGCATGACACTCACTTGAAATAAAAACACTGGAAGTGATACGGTTTAGAAAGGAAAGCATGTCAAAGGCAAGATAAGCCACAAGCTAGATATCTTGAGCCAGTCAGGCAAGATGTGGATACAAAGAGAACAAACTGAAGGAAAGGAAAAGTGATATCCAAGGGAACCTAGGACTTAGAGGAAACCGAGACAGTCTTACTCCTGATAAGGAGAAAGTCTTGTCTGGACAGAAGATCAAGGCAGCCACATTTTCCTAAGACAAAACTTAATCCAGTTTGAAACCCAGGCTCTTTTCAATTCTACGAAGAGGGAGAGAGGTGTGGAAATTGTGGAAGAAAGTCTGAAGCCAGTGTAACTTGATTCATGAGGTTTAAGAAAATAAGCTGCCTCTGAAAAACAGACATGCAGTGCAGCAGGAAGCATCCAGAAGACCTGAGGTAACTGACCGAGGTGGCCAGCTGAGCAGCAGGCTCAGGCTCTCAGAAGTGGGTGCCCCCAACCCAGCACTTTCAGAGCTAGAAAGAAGAACCCACCGCTTAGCTTCAAAGCTGCTGAAAGCAGGCTGGCTCTCTCGTTAAAGGTTAATGCATCTGATGACTTAAATTAAAGCCATTGCTCACTTACTATTATGAAAAGTCCTACGGTCCTTAAAAATTATACTAAATCTATTCTGCTTCTGCTCTATGGATGCAAGAATTCCTGGAGGGCAACACATCTGTTTATAGCACTGTTCACTGAGTATTTTAAGTCCACTGTTGATAACTATTGCTCAGAATAAAAGATTCCTCTCCAAATATTGCAGATCACTGACAATGAACTTGGTGAACTCTGATAGACATGCACATGAAATTACAGTTTTCAGGCCTGCGAATACAATTCCTTTATGAGGCCTTTGGAAGTAAGAAGTAATTGCAACTTTCAAGTCATTACTTAAAATATGCATTTTGTAAGGTTGTACCTGGCACAGATAGTGATTTTGATTATGGATCTGGGCAAAGTAAATTGAAAATTTCTGGAAGGTACTCATCATTCTAGATGCCATTAGAAACATTCAGAATTTGTAGGAAGAGGTCAAAATGTCAATTTTAACAGAATTTTTGAAGAAGCTGATTTCAACCCTCATAGATGACTTTGAAGGATTCAGCAGTGATGGAAGTAGCTGTCAATGAATGAAAACAACAGAGAATGAGAATGAGAAGTGGAGGCTGAAGATAAACTGTAATCACTGGGCGTGGGGATGCACAACTGTAATCACAGCATTCTGGAGGCTAAGGCAGGAGGATTGCTGTGAATTCAAGGCCAGCCAGGGCTACAAAGTGAGTTTAAGATCAATCTGAACTGCATAGTGAAACTCTGTTTCAAAAAGATAAATAAATAAGAATGAATTGTAATCTTAAGGTAAAATATTAACAGATGAGTGTTACCTCTTGCCAATGAACACAGACAGTGGTTTCTCAGGTGAAATGTACCCTTGGTGAAGATGTTATCACCACTGCTGAAATACTGGCAAATATCTTAGAATATCACAAATGTTTAGTTGATAAAGGAGGAACAGAAATTTAGACAACTCATTTCAATAGTCAAAGAGTTCTCTGAGTAAAATGCTATCAAACAGCATCAAAGTTTATAGGGAATTGTACTGTGAGAAAAAAAAGATATTAATGCTGCAGCTTCATGACCGGCGCAGCCCCAATGAAACAGGAGATGCTCTTGTGGACGACAGTTAACTGCTGGTTTATTCACGCGGGCTCTGGTTTATATATTTGGCCGTGACCAATCACAGGCTGCCACGAGGAAGCAGGGCGGGAATGGGATGCAGGCTCTGGCTACCATATCCAGCTGTGGCCAATCAGGAGTTGCCACAGAGTACGGAGTGAGCACGAAGTGCGCACGGGTTGGCTAATTTAAAGAGGGACGTAGCGCATTGCGGAAGCTGGCGTGGTCCTTAGTCCTGGGTGGGGTATGGTATGTTGAGCGCCTGCGCCCAACATCTCCCCCTTTCTTTATAACTGACGCAGGGTCTCCAGAGGTCGGCGCCCCTCGTGAGGTGTCACGCTGCAGTCATGACAGTGCCTCACTACTCGTTGGTGCTCTTTTGGAGGGGGCGGGAGTATTGTTTTATGAGCCCAACCCACATGCTCACCAACATGGGGACCGGGGTGTCTCCTGGCCAAGGACGACACCCCCTGCGATGCTTTGCTCCACACCTGCGTCACAGCATGGCGAGCCATGCTGCCGGGCTTTGACCAGATTCCATGATCAGCAATGCTTGTTTGATACTTTGTCCCTATTCCTTTGTCTGCGAATCTGACAGAGCAGAAGTAGACTGCGGAATGCGGCAAGTGTAGTCATGGTAGCCAGAGCCCCTGTTCCTGCCCATTCCTTTATGAAAGCCAATTGGAGAGTTGGCCCGAGCTGGATCACAGGAAACTCGTCTGAGTCCGCCATAACTGGCATCGGTACGAACTGGAGTACCTGCATAACAACAGCTGAAAGTGCACTGTTATCCCAACATTGTAACATATAACAGGTTGCGGTGGAGCAATTTAGAAAAGTCATATTTGTGGTGTTAATGGTGGCCAGGGAGAATCCCCATAATATCTCCTGGGAGTATCCATCCAGGGGGTCACAGGCGGTAAACTGGAGGACCCTTGCCCAGATAGGGGTGCAGAAGGATCCCCGGGGCCTCTGAGCTGGCGCGCCCTTAATCGTGGCGGGCTCGACTTGGGCCCCTTGCAAGATGCGGGTCGGGAGGTAGAGCCCTAGGTCTTATACGGGGCGGCCTGGGATCCCGTACTCGCTTTCATTGACCCATTTACTCTGAGAAATCCTGCGTTGCAGCTCATTTATGGCCTCAGAGTAGGGCCCTCTCAACTGCGTGTGTGTGACTTCCCCTCTTTCGGTGGTGTCTGCATCCGCCATTTTGTATACTTCTTCTTCCTCCCCCTCATTATCTGACGAGTCCTCTGTTTCTGGGTTGGGTGCGGTCACCTCGCCTGCGGCATTGGGCTCGCGAGATTGCTCGAGGGAGGATTCTGCCTGATGGTAACCAAGCGCCATGGCGCCAGCCCTTATATGGTCACGACAAGAGGTGTCTGCAAGGCAGCTTCTCACTACGGCCCAAAGGGGTCTGACTCCTGGCTCAAAGAGGCCATTTTCTGCTGCAAAGTCAAGATCTCTCCCTAATTTATCCCAGCTGGGGATGGTAATGGACCCCGTGGGACCAAACCAAGGTGCTACCTTATCGACCTGATCGAGGAAGTTTTGAATTTGTTCTCTTTTCATTTGTAATCCCTTTTCTCTCAGTAAGTCGCTTAAGGCGACTGACAGTGGCTGAGTAGCAGTGTTACCCATGTTAACCGGAATTTCAAGAGTTTCTTTTTATTTTTTTATTTTTTTTATTTTTTTATTTTTCCTTTTTTTTTTTTTTTTTGTAACAGGGACAGCTTAGTCCCCGCGCCCCTTTACGGCGCCCCCAAAACCTGCCTCTTTACGGCACCGGGATCTCTCTTTACGAGTTCCTCGACCCTTGCGACGCGTCCGCCCAAGGTTGCCCGATAGCCCCCGCCATCCGGCCCTGTTGCGTAGCACCCGCTACCAACGTTGAGCAGTTTAACCTGTCAGCCCCCGCCCGCGGCATAGCCCCCGCTATCAGCGCTTGATGGTTTTACCTGTTAACGTCTCTGTTCCGTCGGAGAGAGAGTCTCGTTCCCTGTACTGTCGGAGAGAGGGTCTCAGCGTTCCCCGTACTGTCGGAGAGAGGGTCTCAGCGCTCCCCATACGGGCCACCAGTTGACCGGCGCAGCCCCAGTGAAACAGGAGACGCTCTTGTGGACGACAGTTAACTGCTGGTTTATTTACGCGGGCTCTGGTTTATATATTTGGCCGTGACCAATCACAGGCTGCCACGAGGAAGCAGGGTGGGAATGGGATGCAGGCTCTGGCTACTATAGCCAGCTGTGGCCAATCAGGAGTTGCCACAGAGTACGGAGTGAGCACGAAGTGCGCACGGGTTGGCTAATTTAAAGAGAGACGTAGCGCATTGCGGAAGCTGGCGTGGTCCTTAGTCCCGGGTGGGGTATGGTATGTTGAGCGCCTGCACCCAACAGCTTCACATTGCTTAATTTTAAGAAATTTCCACCACCACTGCCAACTTCAGCAACCACCATGCCGACCAGTCAGAATGTGTGAACATAACTGGCGTATCACACTGGCTCTTCTGTTGCTAGGACATGATATTTGACACCTGCAATTTTAAAGAAGGAAATGTTTAATTTAATTTATGTTTAATTTAGCTCATAGGCTGGGAGAATTCTGTTCACATTCAGTTGGTGCCGAAAGAGAACATGATTATGGGATGGCACAGCAGAGCAAAGTGGCTTAATTCATAACGGTCAGAGAGCAGAGCAAAGAGAACACTAGAGATAAAAAGCCAGGGATCATACAGCACCCAGGATTATATCTCCATGACCCATACATACATACCCAGGAGTATGCTGCACTAATCTCCTTAGCATTTCTAAATCCAGTGAAGTGTTACATATCAGGAGCAGTAGTCATAGTACAACCCATGTAAACTTTATACCCAGGCACATCACCTTAAACCATACTTAATTGCCAAATGAAGAAAATACCAAATAACATTTATGACTAATATAACTATTCTGAATAACCTAGAAATTCAATAATCACTTCCCCAAATACTCAATCTGTTACACTTTTTTCAAAAGTTCAAGTGAAAGACTTTTCTGAGACTAAGGGCAAACTCTTAGGTGTGGATCCTCTGCAAAAATCAAATGCAACTTGCATAATTCCAAGGTAGAATGGTACAGGGTAAACTTTCTCATTCCAAAAGACAGTACAGTAAATCCCTGACTTGTGAGCTCTGTCAGGGGAGGATGTTCTTAACTACATCAAATTTGTTCATAATCTGACAAAGTAAATCTTACACAATACACCTGTCAGACTTGTTCATAATCTGACAGTAAATCTTAACAATACACCTGTTAAAATCCACAACTCAAGTGTTTGTGAGTTGAGATTTTACTGTAATAAGGACATAGATTTTTAAAATGCTCAATGCAAGACCAAAGACTAGCAGAGCAACAATTAAACCTGTGGCTCCATATTTGATATCCAGGATATATGGTGATAAAATTGCATTACAGATTTGGATGGCCCTATCCTCATGACTTTGATAGTTGAAGCCCACAGGGCCTTTCTATCAGGCTGGTTTCACTCACAGTCTACAGCTATCCATGAACGATAGTCTAAGTTACTGGTGTCTCCTGGATCTCTACTGCACCTTTGCCTTCACAGGAGCCCCTTTCCTGCTCCCCAGGTCTTCCTTTAAAATCTGAGTGGAAACCTTCCTGTGCCTATAAGCTTGCATTCTTCATGCCAGTAAAATAAGCATCAAATCGACAAACCCAGTTATCACCAGTTATCAGCAGTTATCAGCAGTACCTAGGTCCCATGGACCATGTCTGTTGCATTCTCTGACTGTGTATGGGGCTGAGAACAGTGAAATGACTCCCAGGGAACCGATTCTTTCTTGAGGTTGGCTTCCAGGGACTCTCCTCAAATGAAGGGTTTACACTTTCCTACCATAAAGACTGTGTGGTATTATGGTTTATATTCAGATGCCCCCCGCTTCCAGCCAAACTTCATGCATAATAAAAATGGTTGTATAATGTGCATAATGTACCAGAAACACCAATTGTTTTCCCAGTATATTAGCCGGGAAGATATAAAATGTGCCTATTTTACCAGAAACAACAGTTTCATACTGTACTCACTGAGAGAAATATAAAACAAAAGAGGCCTTTATTCTGAGAACACGGAGAGAGAGAACCAGCACCCCCGACCGCTGCAGTCCAGCTTTCTCTCTGGCAGACACGAGGCATTGGGGGTATGTAAATAGCCTCGGTTTGGGGTGGAACCTAAGGGGGCATCAGGGATGCACGGGTAGCCCATTGGTCGTAGGTTTGGCACCACATGTAAGTTCCCAGGGGCGGGGAAGATGACATCACAGGTAAATTCCTAGGGGTGGGGGAGATAGGAGCTTCCTGGTTCCCCTTGAGGCTTTTCTAGCTACAGAGTCCTGTCTGGGCCGAAACCCTTTCATATACCGTATTATGATTATTATTATGAAAAGGGGGGAAAATTTTTTAAAAACTATTTCCTGCTGGCAGAGGGCACTGTACTGGAGTCTAGGGGAGTCCATGGGGTGGTGGTGGATGCCCAGGTAGATTCTGGTGCCAGGTGTTTAAGCCAGGACAACTTCACTGGTGAATGCACGCATGTTAGACTGGAAAAACAAAGAGACAAGATGTTATGAGGAGACGTGGCACTGTCATATTTAAGGACCCAGGTGAGGTAGAGGGAAACGTGCCTTTCATTTAGACATGTCATTATATCAGCATGACATTGAGGTAGGATCATTGTCACAGTGAGGTAGAATTCTGAAAATTAAGTGTGAGGTTAGGAGGAGTGATGTTATGAGAGGTGATTACTCCCCCATCTGAAAGCATAAACTTAAGAGGTTAGGTATGTAAAACTTGTTTCCGGTCCACGAATGAACTGGAAAAAATAGGGGGAGTAGGGAAGGTGGTGGCTGTACCAGTATAGGGAAGGGAAGAGTTTAGGCTTTCAGGGATGTCATGCTTAACCAGACAGCTGAGGGTAGACAGAACTACCACAGTCATTGCATAGAGCATCATGAAGATGATCTTATGCATGATGTGGGAGTCTTTGGGAAAGACTGTCAAGAGTCCTGCTGTAGAAATGATCATGAATAGAACGGAAGAAATTAGGAACCAAAGTGGATAACAAAACATGACTTAGCCTGTTAACTGTGGCTGCGAGGCCTTCGTGAAACAGAGACAGGTGAGCGACAGAAGATGAGATGACCACTCAGAATGATCAGATTTAGGGCTGGGAGGGCACCTCTTAGCCTGAGTGATGTGAAACCAGGATGGGAGTCCAGCAACTTTGACCACTGTAGGGGTAGCCAAGTAGACCAGATGGGGGCCACTCCACCTTGGTGGCAGTCCTGTGGATTTAGAACATTTGAGATAAATTAGATCTCCTGGGGATAGGGGAGGATCTGGCTTGGCTTCTCCAGAGGGTTGTGGAAGGCAGAGATCAGCATGTTGTCACAACAGGTGTCAGAGGAAGGAGAGGACTGGGACATAGTCAGCCAGGGGAGGGAGATTTTGGGGAGTAGGAAGATTGTGGAGTAAGAATGGCCTGCCGTACCTAAGTTCAAAAGGACTTAGGAAAGTAGGAGCCCGGGGGAGTTCCCTGAGCTTGGCTAAGGCTAAGGGCAAAAGTTGAGGCCAAGGTTGATGTAGTTCTAAAGTGAGTTTTGTAAGGTGTGTCTTATGAGGCCACTTGCCTTTTCTACTTTTCCTGAGGATTGTGGATGGTATGGGATGTGTAGGTGCCAGGTGATGTGTAAGCTTGAGGATACCTGTGGAGTGATCTGAGAAATAAAGGCGGGACCATTATCTGACTGAATACTCTGAGGTAGACCAAACCTTGGAATGATTTCTTGTAATATGACTTTGGTAACTACATCAGCAGTTTCCCTGGTTGTGGGAAAGGCTTCTATCCATCCTGAAAAGGTACAAACAAAGGTGAGAAGATAATTGAGAGTCTTGTGGCGGGGCATGTGTGTAAAACCTATCTGTCAGTCCTGACCAGCGGTGTGTCCTCGAAACTGATGGGTAGGAAAGGAAGAGGGTGCCATAGGTCCTTGAGGAGAGGTCCTGGCACAGAGGTCACAGGTGTGAGTAATCTTAAGAATGATAGCTTTTAGAAAAGGGTGTGTGACTATTGGGGCTAAGAGTTTGTATAGGGCCTGTGATCCTCTATGTATGCTAGCAGCTAGACAATGGCAATGCTCTTTTTTTTTTTTTTTTTTTTTCTTTCTTGGTACTGGGAATTGAACTCAGAACCTTGCTCTTCCCAGATAGATAACTGTGCCACTGAGGTATATCCCCGGGCCTAGACAATGTACAGTACAGAACAGTACAGAAAACACTGCTCTAGAATGAGTGAGCTCAACCACTGCTCACTCACATGCAATTATTTTTCACGCAGTCAAATATTTGCCAGAAAAAAAAATTCTGATCCACACCCCTGCAGGTCTCCTCCCCTAAGTTCTGTTCCCCTACCAGTGCACTGATCCTGCAGCTCAGAGAAACAAGGAGGCTAAGTCACTAGTTACATTCTCGGCTCATTCTACAGCCTTCTGCAACCATCCTCCAAATTCAGATGTTGCAAGTCGAGGCTTGGGGAATTTGTTCCGCAAATCACCCTAAGTCAGCCCTGCAACAAGACAGCAGAATTCAGTACTCAGCAAAAAAGCACCCCATCCCTTCCATGTGCAGGTCCTCAGACTCCTGGGAATGGGCGACTGCAGGGCTTGGAAGAGCCAAGCCCTAGAGAAGTCAATACCCCCAGCGACAAATCTCCACGCACCCCCTCTCTCCTGCAGGAATGAAACATGGGACTAGGCTGAAGATCCTGGTGGAGTCCAAAGTTCAACACACTTCAAAGCCCAACAATATATACCTTTAGCAAATCCTATGCTGCTTCTCTCCAACCTCCAACTGCATGCACCCTCATGCCTAGAAGAATAAATGGCCCAGTTTCCCAAAAGCCCCGAGTCTTTAGACTTGTTTCTCCAACTTCAAGGTCAAGACCAGGCAGTGTCATGTAAATGGCAGCAACACAAAGAGGTAAAAATGACAGGTGGTACATGCCTGTAATCCCAGCACTTGGAAGGCAGAGGCGGGAGGATTGCCATGAGTTCAAGGCCAGCCTGGGCTACACAGTGAGTTCCAGGCCAGCCTGAACTGCAGGATCCCAACCCCAACAAACAGACCTCCCAGGCTGCACATCCTCAGCTACCTCTCTGACCACTGAATGCCTGCTCTCTCTAACACTGTATCCCTGGGGTTCCCAACAAGCCCGGTGCAGCAGTTGCTGGCACGCACTTACACTTGGATATTCTGGCAAACACAGAAACTTCCACACAGCCCGAGTGTCAATTACTTCTCTGCAAAACACACATTTCCGATTTCTCGAGTTGCCAGCTACAGTGGCTCTAAGACCCTAGCATATAATCAATTTCCACAAAGTCATCTCTTCCCTTCACCCTGGCCTTGTCAACAGAGTATGTCAATGGTAATGTCTCTAAAACTCACCCTTTTTTCATTTCCAGTTAAATCCAATGCAAACCCTGGGCACTCCTAGAGTGCAGCAGCTTACTAGCTGACCTGTCTCCTATAAAAATCGTTTCCAAACACCCCTTCCTTGCTATCCTCCCTGAACCTAAAACTTTTAATGTCTGCCAGGACACACAGACAGAACAGCAATTCCCCAGTCTGATTTTCTAGGACTTGCACAATCTCAACCACTGTTCTCTCCATCTTCAGGAAACAGGCAAGTTGGCCAAGGCCATGCTCATGGTCACTCTGTCGCCATCTCGAGGGTCTCCGAGAGCGCCCTCCTCTGACCTGCAACAGCACCTGTGTCTGCACCTGCCCACCACACCGTTCATGTGTCCTATCTGGAGGTCTTACTTCCCACCTACCTGTCTTCCCATGCTTCGCACAAGGTGACAAGTCCCAAGGCCAAGGATCAAACCCAGGCTTTGCACATGCCAGGCATGTATGGCACCACTGCTGTGCTACATGCCAGCTTCATTATCTTCTGTATCCTCCCTCCTCCATAACTGCTCCTCTGATCCTCCTTTCGTGGCCCTTTCTACCTGCTACTCCTGTGGACTCTGGGTTCTGCCATAGGCACACCTTCCTCCAAAAGAAGTGAGCCTTCCCCAACTCGGACTTTTCCTCTCTCTGCTGTGGCTCCTGGCCTTCACCAACTCGGGAAGCCATGGCTCATGCATCTGAAGTTGAGCTCTTAAAGTCATTTCCACCTAGCAGAATAGGCTTCATAGGGCCTCAGATTTCTTGGGTACCTCTTGACATCTCCCAGGAAGCCGGGGGTCCTGCTGAGAACACAGCAGCTCCCAGAAGGACCTGTGGAGTCCAACATAACTACTCTGTCTCTGTTTACAGAGCCTCAGGCTCTGTTTACACAACACCCCGGGAAAGGGTCCCAAGACCTCCAATACCTGTTGAAGCAAACTGTCCCAGTCACACCTTCCTGCACAGCGGGTGTGAAGAAAGCAGTGAGGGCCTGCAGATACCCAGTGCCTGCCCAGCTGCACCGCAGGAGTGCCAGAGCCTGGGGAGTCTCCAGAGCTCCACAACCAGGCAGCAGGGCGGCTAACAAACAGGAGGTGTGGCGGTGCCCACCACTTGGCATGTGGGCTCCTTTAGATCGCTCTCCACTAGCTGCAGTGGAAGGCACAGATCTAAACTCAGAGGCATGGAATTAAACGCTGCCTCTGAAATTGTTTGCAGATGCCAAATTCCCAGTCCAGGCCCCAACCCGGAAACCCCCGATGCCCAAAGTGCCACCGCCTGGCAAGGCCGACCGGCCTAGCACGTGGGGTGAGGGGAGCCAGGCCGAAGGCACAGGGCCAGAGAGGGTAGTGGCCAAAGCCTGCTTGAGAGAGGATGTGGGGCCAACCCGCCAGGAAGAGGGTGTGTCGCGGAGTGGACAGGCGCGAGCTGGGCATCCGGCCGGAAAGGGTCCGGGAAGGGGCATGGAAGGGCCGGGCTCTCCGTGCAGGGTCCTCCGGAGAGGTGACTGCCAACCCCCACTCAAAGTTGGGAGGGTCCTGGGTCGGGAGCTCAGGCTCCAGCGAGATAAGGTGGCGTGGAGCGGACAGGCGGCCACCACGGTCCCCACCCCTTGGCCACAAGGCCTGCGCGGCCACTGTCGCAGTGCCCCCCGCGCCCCGCCCCCGGCCCTGGGCCATCAGCCCCCGCGTGGGCGCAGGGCACTGGAAGCGCTCGGCAACCCTGCCACCCCCCAGCAGCAGGCTGCAAGCTTTGGCCTGGCGCAGCTCACTTCCCCACGCTGGGCTCTGGCTGCAGCTGGCACTGTCCTTCCCGCCCCGCCCCGCGCCCTACGCCCCCCCCCCCCCCTACGCGGTGGGCTCCCCGACCTCGCGCCCTCTGCCGGCTCCCTTTGCGCCCACCTGGCCGCCCAGAAGCCTCAGGGACAGGAGGGTGGGAAGACAGAGCACAGGGCTCAGCCAAGGAGGTAAGGGCTTGACAACCTTCACAGGGCAGGAGCCCTTGGCAGGGAGACTGTGTGGTTCTGGTCAGCACCCCAGAGTCAGAACAGCAAGACGAGCTAGAGGCTGGGGCGAGCAGATGGGGGACAGGGAGAGAACAGGGCCTTGTCACACACAGACACACACACACACAGACACAGACCAACTCCTGGCAAGGAAGGGAACTGAGGCATACCCTACACAGGGCTCATGTAAGCGTGCATGCCAAAGAAAAGGCTGTCACAGTAAATCTGAAGAGAACAAAAGACAGACAATCTCCCAAGCAAGGGTGCAAGTTACAAAAAAAGGAAAAGGAAACTCTTTTCAGTAAACGCGTCAGAATGGTTAGTGATGGAGCAACATTTCTTGCAGAAATTCTGCCTCATTGTAAAGTGGATTAAAATGAGTTGTCATAGATACAAGACATGCCTCAAAAAAGTGTGGTAAGTTAAGAGTAATGTGAGAGGGAAAACCCAACTCGTTACCCTTTACGCTGACTGTAATGTAAGGACCCATGCACTGCCCGGCATCCTTCAGGCCAATCTTCTCGATTGTGATGGTGAACAGTGTCATGCCCAGCCTGAGGGCGGCCATGATACTAAAGTACCTGGCAACAAGGAAGCCCCAGTAACAGCCAGCTCTGCCAACAGTTTCACAGTAAATACTGTCAGCAAACATGGAAATATTCTACCCGCTCTCAACCCATAACCAGGCAAGCACGATGCAGTCTGGCCTGCAAGCCTCCTGCACGCTGTTCTTCTTTGCAGATGTATTTTATACACAACAGTGACGTACACGTCCACATCTCATCACCCTAAGGCAGACATCAATTCAAGTTCAATCAAGGAAAAGTCAGGTGAAAACTTCCAGTAGGTCAAGGAAGCCAGTTATAAATAACCGCAGAATAGCTACGGTGTCCTCTTGCATGTACCTGGGGACATGCCATAGGTTTTACATCTCAGCATTCGGTAGGGTGAGGAAGATGCTTTTTAAATAGTTTGCTGTCCTGAAGTCTCAGAGACTCAGTCAGATCAACACATCCTTTAGTTGCCGTGATAAAGAACGTCATTTGAAGTTTACCAGTTATACTTAGTTAGGCCTTTTCCGTCCCATTTCTCTTCTCTTTGTCCTGTTCTGTCTGACGAAGCTCACAGAGGTTCCTGCCACAGAGAATGTCACACAACACCACAAAAGCAGTTTGCGTGTTTGAGATCTTCAGATGGCTGGGCCAGTTGGGATGCCAGCAACATTACAGACTGGATCAGGAAAATCTCCACAAACCAGGGACTACTTTCCAGAACATGTGGTTAGCTTAGCACATGTATCAAGGTAGTTCACATTAGCAGACGAGGAGAAAAACTTTTGTAATCTTGTCAACAGATGCAAAAAAAAAAAAAAAGTCTTCAATTAAGTCTTAAACATTATTAGCAAGTTTTGTTTCGCTTTGTTGCTTTTTGAGACAAGGTCTCACTGTGTAGTCCAGGCTGGCCTGAAACTCATGGTAATACAGGCAATAAAAAGTCATTATCCTAGAACCAAACTGCATAATAATGTGGGCACAGGTTAGTCATCACTGAAACCCTGAGTCCTCCCTCAGAGAAACAAAGAATCCTTTCCTCTATATGATTAAGCTAAAGGTTACATGTTCTCTTGCTGTTCGATGTCATTTCTGTTCTGTTTTTCAATGTTTACAGATAACATCAGTGCTGTACACAGTACACTCATCGTGGGAGCTGGCACACATACCAAACAAGCTGATTCCTCTTCAGTCTTCCCTGCCCTCCCTCCTGATGGCACTTTCAATGACTAGAATTTTACAAGTCTTTTTTCCAGTGAGGCTTACATCCCAGGACAGCATGGTTCCAAACCAAGTACAGTCAATTAAATGACACGTTCTCTTTCTTACTCTGAGAGGAGAAAAAATTCACACTAAAAAGGTTCAGTGAGCTTCTTGTATCTCTAAAATGAAACAGCAAATACCATACAGAGCACAAACATCTCGACTGAACTTGCATTTAACTTTATACAGTCAGTGGATTTAATTCAATTTGGCAGCCCCAGCCACATACAGAGCACACCTCTGCGTCTCATGACTTAGCTCTGCTGCTCTAAGGGCTGCGTTTTCCATGGAGCTACGGCAAGGAAGCAAACGGCCAGGCAGGTGGGAGTTTATACAGCTGCAGCTGCACGCGCTGCGGTATAGTCTGCAAAGCAGACTGGCAACATACAAGACCTCCACTTAAACACATATAACACGGATAGGAAGAGTAAGTTCTAGTTCTAGTCTTTCACAGCACATATATTGTATAAACATCTAAAAGGGAGAAGTTGGAAGGTTCCCTGCACAAACAAATGACTAAGGGGCTACAACTGCTAAATATTTCAATTTGATGGCTCTACATTGTATATGTGTACTGGCCTCGAACTCAAGATCTTCCTGCCTCAGCCTCCTCAGTAGCTGAGATTACAGACAGACACCACCATTCCAGGCTCTTACTGTGCATTCGTATATACTGTACTCCATAAATATGTAAAATTTAAATAAAGTAATGTTGAACATCAGCAAGGCAGCTATGGAAATGGCATGATTGGGAAGGAAGGAAGGCAGAGTGCATCCCGACATCAAAGGACAGAGCCGCGCCGGGAGCCAGTCCAAGCCCCCAATGCACTGGATTGGCCTTCAACAGTGACTGCAATACTGAAATGTGTCCTTGGCCGCCTTTTTTTATTCACTGACACCAGCAAGGAATGGCCACTAGAGGGCGCGCCTGCCCACCTCTGAGCCCGGGCACTGTGCCTTTTGAGTCCATTCAGTCCTCCTGGGGCACTCCACCCAGCAACAGCGAGGTTGCTGGGAACTCAAGTTTTCACCTCTCTGGAGCAGGGACTTTGGGGAATTTTGACTCTATATCCCAATCCTGTTAGGGAAACATTTATTCAGTTTGGGCCTCTCATTTCTTTGAAATGAAGCAAATACGTTGTCAGTTTTTTAAAAAACTTTTTTTGTTTTGTTTTGTCTTTTTCTTTTTTATTGGTACCAGGGATCGAACTCATAACTGCCTGCTTGCAAGGCAGGCGCTTGTGCCGCTGAGCTAAATCCCCAGCCCCTAAAAAACTCATTTTAATGAAGGAACATGAATTACAAAAGGTCACCAGCCTATCACCTATCAGGATGTCTGTGATCAATAAAAACAGAAAGAAAACAAGTTGTCAGGGAAGTGGTGAAATTGCAGGTAGAATTGTGACTGGTACCGGAGGTGCGTCCCGGGGGAATCCCGCCAGGATCTCGGGGTCGGGAACAGAGAACTGAGTGAGACACAGAAAAGGTAGCAAGGTACACACTCACTGAAAGGGTGGTGACACAGGCTCTGCAGGGACAGCGTAGTTGGGCTCAGACTCCTAGCAGCTCCAGCACAGGGGCAAGGGGGCTTTTGGAGTTGCAATTCCTGGACTGACTTCTTTCTCATGCAAATAAGCCTTTGTGACATTGTCCTATCAGAAATGCACTGGGGCTGAAGCCAGGTTTAAACTGCCCTATGGAAGACTTACTTGGTTTCCTGCGGATATAAATAAAGACTTGCAAAGAGGGCTTTTCTGATTGGTTCAGTGTGCAGGACCCAGGCGCTTCAGGGTCATCCTGGAGCCTGTGTTCTGCTCATGTGCCCTGAGTCTCCAAGCCTTTGACAGCTTCCTCCCAGCAGGTTTGCCCCAGCCCTAATCTACCTCAGTTCCCTCTGAGGGACAGAATCTCCAGTTCTTCATGGGATGCTGAGGCAGCACTGGCCTCTTCTTACAGCTGCTTCCTGCTGAAAAGGCCTGCAGGCCCTACCTACTGCTGGGGGACCTGTGCTCTCTGACTACCCTGGGATGTTGGGCTCACTGGCTGGGCTGGCAAGAATTTGCCAGAAGACAAGGAAAGGGCTGAGGATTTAGCTCAGTGGCATAAATGCTTGCCTGGCAAGTGCAAGTTGTGAGTTCAATCACACACACACACACACACACACACACACACACACACACACACACAGAGTGAGAGAATGAAAGAGAGAGAGAGAGAAGGAGAGAATAATTAGTGCCCACATGTCAGGAAC